AACCGACCAAGCCACCCAGGCGCCCCAGTGAAGTGGTTTTAAAAACGTCATAGAGGGGCGCCTGGGTGGCGCAGTCGGTTAAGCGTCCGACTTCAGCCAGGTCACGATCTTGCGGTCCGTGAGTTCGAGCCCCGCGTCAGGCTCTGGGCTGATGGCTCAGAGCCTGGAGCCTGTTTCCGATTCTCTGTCTCCCTCTCTCTCTGACCCTCCCCCGTTCATGCTCTGTCTCTCCCTGTCCCAAAAATAAATAAACGTTGAAAAAAAAAAAATTAAAAACGTCATAGCTATCACAAACTAGAAAACTACTCTCGAGAATCCTAATAGGCAATGATAACCCATCTCTGCTTCTCAACACTCTTGCTCTTGAGTTCTCTATAAAATCACCTTTCCTTGTTTGCATACTCTTCTCCTTCTCTGGGTATAGGTGGGTAGAATATTGCTCAGTAATAAGAAGGAATAAACTACTGATAAAACTTGATGGATCTCAAGGGCAGTATGCTTGAGTGAAAAAAGCCACTCTGAAAAGTCACATACTGCATGTTTCCATTGATGACAAAATCAAGATGAAGAACAAATTAGTGGTTGCTAGGGGTTAGGGATGTGTTGGGAGTGAGGAGAGTAGGAAATGTCTGTAAAAAGGTAGCGTGAGGGAGATTTTTATAGTGACCGAGTAGGCTGTATCTTGATTGTGGTAGTAGTTATATAAGTCTATCCATGTGATTAAATGAGGAATTATACACACCTATCAATATTGTGCTCTTTTTTTTTTTTTTAAGTTTACTTATTTTGAGAGAGACAGCAGAGGAGGGGCACAGAGAAAGGGAGAGAAAAAGAACCCCAAGCAGGCTCTGTGCTGTCAGCATGGAGCCCAACATGGGGCTTGAACCTATGAACAGTGAGATCATGACCTGAGCTGAAACCAAGAGTCCAAGTTGGGAAGTTGGATTTGGATGTAAATTTTAAAAAATAAAAAATTAAATTAAAAAAAAAAAGTGACTCATTTTGAGAGGGTGTATGTGTGCTCGCAGGGGAGGGGGGGGGCAGAAAGAGGGAGAGAGAATCCCGCTATCAACGCAGAGCCTGATGCAGGCCTCGATCTCATAAACTAAGAGATCATGACCTGAGCTGAAATCAAGAGACATAACGCTTAACCGACTGAGCCACCCAGGCGCCCCACAGTAAGGTTTTTTTAAATTAATTATCTTTTAATTTACACCCAAGTTAGTTAGCATATAGTGCAACAGTGATATCAGGAGTAGATTCCTTAATGTCCCTTACCCATTTAGCCCATCCACCCTCCCCCAATCCCTCCAGCAACCCTCTGGTGTTCTCTATATTTAAGAGTCTCTTATGTTTTGTCCCCTCCTTGTTTTTATATTATTTTTGCTTCCCTTCCCTTATGTTTATCTGTTTTGTAGCTTAAAGTCCTCATATGAGTGAAGTCATATGATATTTGTCACAGTAAGGTATTTTTTTAAAAAGGTATATACATTGTTTTTTTCAGACCTAATGCTATTGCACACTTAATAGACTACAGTATACTATAAACTTACATGTAGTAAGAAACCAAAAAACTTATTTGACTTGTCTTATTGTGATATTTGCTTTATTGTGGTGGTCTGGAAGGAACCAAACTCAGCCTGCAATATCTCTGAGATATGCCTGTATCCATTTCCTGGGTTTTATGTTTTATTGTAGTTATGTAAGATGTAACCATTGCAGGAAAGCTGGTGAAGGGTACACAGGGCTTCTCTGTATGATCTTCACAACTTCCTATGAATCTATAACTAATTCAAAATAAAATGTTAAAAACATTAAAGAAAATGTTTGGACTTAGGCTTCCAGAAAGATGGAGTAGATGTACTTTACCCTATCCTACTGCTAAGTATAACTAAAACCCTAGAATGAATGTGTGTGTATGCGTGTGTGTGCGGTGTGTGTGTGTAAAACAAGCATAAGAAGACTGAAAGGTGGAAAGAAGGCAGACCTTGGGACCCAAGGAACAACATAATGAGCTCTGGATTTTTCTTTTTGCTTCATATATCCCAGACTTGGGAGCAGAAGAAGCTAGCAACCAAGAAATACTGATAGGCCATAGACAAAGCACACCCCAAGAAAAGCCTGCTTGCTTTCTTTTAAAAAAGTTTTTCAAATGTTTATATATATTTTTGACAGAGAGAGAGAGTGAGCAGGGAGGGGCAGAGAGACAGGGAAATACAGAATCCAAAGTAGGCTCCAGGCTCTGAGCTGTCAGTACAGAGCCCAACGTGGGGCTTGAACTCACAAACCCAGAGATCATGACCTGCACTGAAGTCGGATACTTAACCAACTAAGCCACCCAGGTGCCCTGGAAAGCCTGCTTTCTACAGCCAAAGGACTAGAAAAGAGACAGCAAGATAGAAAACTTTTAGACAATAACCACTTTACTCCAGCCAAACACCACAGAAAAAACCCTGGCCCTATTCCTACTTGTGCCACAAAGACCAAGCGGGGCACTTACTCTTCTACCTTTGTGAGGGTGTATTGAAATTCCCCAGTATTGAAATTCCCCAAACTCCTGCTGGGGTGGTATCAGAGAAGGCCAAATAAGGAGCTGAGATTAGCAGCCCCATCAGTCAATAACAAGGCACTCAGCCTTCCTGACAGAGGTAATGGCAGAGAGGCCTAGGTAGGACCTTAAGGACTTTCAACAATGTCCAGTGGTCATGAGGCTGCACACCCCCCCCCCCCATGTCAGTGGATCCCTTATGAGGGGCTGTGTGCTACACCCTGCTAGGGAAGTATACGTTGAGCCCTACTAGAGAGCCAGAACGCCCATCTTAGCCTCGCAGTAATGAGGAACCCTTCCCTTGTGTGTCCAAGGAGGCTGATTGTCAACCTGGACTTCTATATAGCTTCACCTGACAGTAGCAAGAGGGCCCCTCTCCATTTTGCCAGACCAGTGTGAGAAAAAGTCAGCTAAACAGAAGGTTTAAATAAGATCCAGAGTCTTAAAATACGAAAATGTCCAGGTTTCAATCTAAAATCACTCATCATACCAAGAATCAGGAAGATCTCAAATTGAATTTAAAAAAAGGTAATCAGTAGATGTCAATACCAAGATGGCAGAGAGGCTAGAATTATTTGACAAGATTTTAGAGCAGCTATCATAAAAATGCTTCGATGAGCAATTATGAACATGCTCAAAACCAATGAAGAAATAGAAAGTCTCAGCAAAGAAATAGAAGACATGAAGAAGAAGCAAATGGAAATTTTGGAATCAAAAAACAAAAAATTCAGTGGATGGGCTTAACGGCAAATAATCAGTAACATGAAATAATCAGTAAACTTAAGCATAGAACAGTAAAAATACCCAGTCTGAACAATAGAAAATAAACTAAAAAAAAGAAAAAAAAGGTAGAACTTCAGGGACCTGTGGGACATAACAAAAGTCTAATATTCATGTTGTCAGAGCCCCAGGAGGAAAAAAAGGAAAGAGCCAAAGAGTGCACTAGCACAAATAATTGTTGAAAACGTTCCAGATTTGTAAGAGACATAAACCTATATATTCAAGAAATTGAATGACCCTCAATCAGGATAACTCATATACTTTTTCCCCCAGATTTTATTTTTAAGTAATCTCTCTGCCCAGAGTAGGGCTCAAATTTACGACCCCAAGATTAAGAGTCACATGCTCCATCAACTGAACCAGCCAGGTGTCCTTCAGTCAGGATAATTCAAAGAAATCCACATCAAGTTATGTCAGAGTCAAACTTGTGAAAACTAAAGACAAAAAGTTTGAAAACAGCCAGAGAAAAATGATACCTTATTCTTGAGGGAAAACAATTTGAAGGACAGATGTCTCATCAGAAACAATGGACACCAGAGGGAAGTGGCAGAATAGTTTTCAAGAGCTGAAATAAAAGAGCTCTTAGCCCAGAATCCAATATCCAGTAAAAATATGCTTCAGGAATAAATGGAAAATAAAGATGTCCTCTGATGAAAGAAAACTAAGAGAATTTACTGCTAGCTTAAAAAGAATGCTGCTACTTTAAAAGAATGGCTAAAAAGTTCTCAAAACAGAAAGGAAATAAATGAATGAATCCCATAACATCAAGAATGAAGGAAACACAGTAAGCAGAACTGTGGGTAAGTATAATAGACTACTTTTCCTGAGTTTTCTAAATTATGTTGGATGATCAAAGCAAAAATTATGATGCTGATTAATGTAGCTCCGAATGTATACAGAGAAAATATTTAAGGCAATTATACCTATGGGAGGGAAAAGAGACCTAAAGGGAGGTGAATTTTCTGCACTTCACTTGAACTGGTAACTGACAGTAGAGTAGACTGTGATAAGACTGTGATATAAATAATGTAATAACTAGAGAATCAACTAAAAGCTATGCATCTAAAAGCTCTAAATACACAAAAACACTATAGATTCCTCATTTCAAAACTTCTTACAAAGTTATACTAATCAAGACACTGTGCTATTGGTGTAAGGATGGACATACAGATGAATGGAATAGAAAGAATCAAGAATCCAGAAATGGATTGTGACTTTTATCAGCAATTGATTTTCACCAAGACATTCCAACGGGGAAAGATTACTCAACAAATGATGCTAAGACAACTGGATATCCACATAAGAAGTAAATGAAGTCGGTCGCATTTATCGCACCACATACAAAAATGAACTCAAAATGGATAAAATTCCTAAATATCAGAGCTAAAACTTTTAGAAGAAAAATAGATGTAAATCTTCCTGACCTTGGATTATACAACTATTCCTTAGATGTAACACCACAAGCACAGCAACAAAAGAAAAAAAAAGAAAGAAAGAAACTGAATATCATCAAAATTAAAAATTTTTGTGCTTCAGGGGTGCCTGGTTGGCTCAGTCAGTGGAGCGTGCGACTCTTGGTCTCTGGTCATGAGTTCGAGGCCCATATTGGGTGTAGAGATTATGTAAATCAACAACAACAACAACAAGCAAACTAAAAAAAGACTTTGAGGGGGGGATTGGCAGAGCCATCTGAGGCTTTATTTGGGAAAAGACACTTGAATTGGCTTTTAGTTGGGGGCATGGGCAAGAGGGGTACCCAGGGCAGTGGACTCCCCCTAAGGATAGGCTGAGGATGGGCTGAGTATTAGGTGGGCCTCCTGTTCCCAACGCTGCCCTGCATGGCTCCTTCCCCCCGCAGGCTGGTTGTTCACTTGGATAGGACATCAGACGACTCGGACACCAGCTTCCCGTCACGGATCTCAATCTTCTATACCACCACAGCCTTGGAGGAACTGACACAGCTGAGGGAAGTGGAGCCCCTGCCAGGACCGAAGCTGGACTGGAAGGTACTCAGGCCATAGCAGAGACCAGGGCTCTTGAGGCTCCCATAGGCTGAGCCCAGCCCACCTGAGTAGCCGCTAGTGGTCTTAGTGTGGATACTCATGGTCTGTATCCCAGACTCCAGCCTGCTCTCCTCACCTTCTAGCAGCTTGTGGCAGATGGTGATCTCAATGTTCAGAGCCAGCTTGATGTTCATGAGCTCCTGGTACTCCCGCAGCTGCTGGGCCATGTCCTGCTTGGCTTGCTGCAGGGAGGCTTCTAGCTCAGCCACCTGAGCATGGGCATCCTTAACGGCCAGCTCCCCACGCTGCTCAGCATCAGCTATGGTGGCTTCCAGGAAAGCCCTCTGGTTTTTGAGGCCCTTGATCTCAGCATGGAGTTGGCTGATGTTCTGGTTCACGTCGGAAATCTCCGTCTTCGTGTGATGGAGGTCATCCCCGTGCTTCCCAGCCAATGTCTGCAACTCCTCATACTTGATCTGGTACATGGTCTCAGCCTCGGCCCGGCTGCGGTTGGCAATTTCCTTGTACTGGGCCTTAACCTCAACAATGATGCCATCGAGGTCCAGGGAGTGGCTGTTGTCCACGGACAGCACCACAGACGTGTCCCAGAAGTACAGCTGCCTTAAGAAGTTGATCTCGTCGGTCAGCCCTTCCAAGTGGGACTCCAGCTCCACCTTATTCATGTAAGCTTCATCCACACCCTTCTTGGTGAGGACAAATTCATTCCCCATGTCTGCACATTCTTTGATCTCCTCATACTTATTCTTGAAGTCCTTCACCAGGCTCTGCATGTTGCCAACCTCCACCTCCAGCTTCAACTTCTCCTGGCCCAGGGTGTCCAGCTGCCGCTGAAGGTTGTTGATGTAACTCTTGAACATCTTGTTGATGTTGCTCCGAGCAGTGTTCTGCTGCTCTAGGAGGCTCCACTTGGTCTCCAGAATCTTGTTCTGCTGCTCCAGATGCTGCACCTTGTCGATGAAGGAGGCAAACTTGTTGTTGACGCTCTTAATCTGTTCCTTCTCCTGGGTATGCACAGCCTGGATGTTGGGGTCCACCTCCAGCTTAAGGGGGTTCAGCAGGCTCTGGTTCACTGAGACAGCCGTGATGCCCCCCATACCCCCCAGCCCTGCTGTAGCCCCCAATCACACTCATGCTGCTGCCCAGGCCACCCCTGAAGCTGCTTCCCCTGCCCACCTGGGACAGGGCAGAGCTGATGTGGACGTCAGGTGCATTAGTGAAGGGGTGGCTGCTGAAGGCCCGGGGGTCGGAGGTGGACACCTTGTAAGACTTCTGGGTCACCCTGCTGGACATGGTGGAGGCTGGAGTGGAGGCGAGTAGGCTGAACCTGACCGAGGTTCGAGAAAGAGCTGAGAAGTTGCTTCTAGGGTCTAAAAAAGACTTTTTGTGCATCAAAGGACACAATCAGGAAAATGAAAAGATGACTCACAGAATTGGAGAATTTTTTGCAAATAATATATCTGACAAAGGATTTGTATCTGGAATATAAAAAGAACTGTTGCAACTCAATGACAAAAAGACAACCTGATTTAAAAGGAATCTGAATAGATACTTCTCCAAAGAAGATATACGAATGGCTTCTAAGCCATGAAAAGATGCCCAACATCATTAGCCATCAAAGAAATATACACAAATTCTTAAGCAAATATTAACAATAGAATTCAGCAATCTATGAAAGTAATTATATACCGTGGCCAAATGAGGTTTATTCTAGGGATGGAGGCTGGTTCAGAATTTGAAAGTCCATCAGTGTAATACACCATGTTAACAGGGTAAAGAAAAATCATATGAACATAACATCCAATGCAGAAAAAAAACATTTGAAAAAATTGAACATTTATTCTTGATAAAAACTCTCAGAAAAGTAGGACTAGAGGAGAACTTCCTTAACTTGATAAAGAGCATCCACAAAAAATCTACAGTTAACATACTTAATGGTGAAAGACTGAATGCTTTCCTACTAAGACTGGGAACAGAGAAAGTATGTGTGCTTTCATTGTAACAGCATTCCAACTGGTCTTAAGGGTCCCTTTGCTTCAAGCTTATGCACTCCTTGCTTGCTGACCAAAGTCCCATCGTCTGTAGCAGAACTAACACAGTCTCCTTGAGATTTTCAGACCACTGGCCTTGAGCAGTGAAGGACCCATCTTTCTCAGAAGATAAGATCTGACTACGTTCGAAAACAGTCGCCACTGGTGTCAGCAAATCTGTTCAGGGTCATGTCGACAAAGGACAAACCTAACCGCCTGGGCACCAGCTTCTCCTGCACATAGCCCCCCTCCCTTCTTCCCATAACAACTTCTTCTCCTCCCCCTCCTCCTCCTCCTTCATCTTTCTTGTTTTAGAGAAAGAGAGACAGAGCATGAGCAGCAGAGAGAATCAGAGGGAAAGAGAGAGAATCCCAAGCAGGCTTCACGCTCAGAATGAGGTCTGATGCAGGGCTTGATCCCATGACCGTGAGATCACAACCAGAGCCAAAATCAAGAGTCATTTGCTCACCTGATTGAGCCACTCAGGCGCCCCACCCCCATGACTACTCCCTTAAAACCTTCCATCTTCCCTGGTTGCTGGCTTCCTGAATAAAGCAACCTTTCCTTTCACAGGGATCACTTGCCTCCCAAGTATTGATTGAGTGGCAAGCAGCAGAACCTGTTCTCTATCTGGTAACATCACCAGACCTATTAAACAAAGTGCCAGGAATTGTAGCCTGCTCTATAAGTCAAGAAAAGGAAATAAAAGACATTCATATCAGAAAAGTAGAAATGCTCTGTATACGGAGTGTATTAATGTCAATATTCTGGTTTGTGATATCATACTGAAGTTTTACAACATGTTACCCTTGGGGGAACTGAGTAAAGGATATAGGAATATCTTTGCATTATTTCTTCCAACTGAAAGTTAACATACAATCATCTAAAAATGTTTAACTTTAAAAAAAAGTATGGATTGGGCCCAAGTTCCTTTTATTTATTTATATTTTATTTTAAAAGTATTTTTAAATGTTTATTTATTTTGAGAGAGTGAGAGCGAGCATGAGTGGGAGGGGGTAGAGTGAGAAGAGAGAGAGAATCTTAAGTAGGCTCCACGCTGTCAGTGCAGAGCCCATCATGGGGCTTAATCTCACCAACTGTAAGATCATGACCCGAGCCAAAGCCAAGAGTTCGTTGCTTAACCAACTGAGCCACCAGGGTACCCTCTTTTATTTTTATGTGCTTTGCATTCTTAGCATTGCAGGAAAAGATAAACACATTAATATTATTTGTTAGACTATGAATTCTCCTATTCCACTGTCCCTAGAGGGGACATATTTTTTTTTTTTTTAGAGCATGAGTTTTTCCTTTCAACAAAAACAATTCATTCACCGGGCATGATGAATTGTTCAACAAGGATTCTGAGTCTCTGAGCTTGGGGAGGCTTTGCTTTACATAGCTGATGTCAGATATCCAATCAGCTGCTAGGGTTCTCCAGGAAAAGAAGTACAAAATGCAAGAAATTGCCTCAAGGTCGCTACAGCTGGCAGATGAATTGGGAGGGAGTGATAATGGTCAATAATCCTGGCAAGAAACTTCTTCCATAGGATCTATTGGTTCCTGGAATGTTTTCAGTTGAGAAGTGGGCAGAGGGACAAATAATGATAGACTGTGCAGTCCTGCTGGAGGGATTTGGGTAGTAGAGCACCCAGGCTGAGGATTATTTGCTTCCCTTTTAAAAAGGTAATTTTTGGGGCGCCTGGGTGGCGCAGTGGGTTAAGCGTCCGACTTCAGCCAGGTCACGATCTCGTGGTCCGTGAGTTCGAGCCCCGCGTCAGGCTCTGGGCTGATGGCTCGGAGCCTGGAGCCTGTTTCCGATTCTGTGTCTCCCTCTCTCTCTGCCCCTCCCCCGTTCATGCTCTGTCTCTCTCTGTCCCAAAAATAAATAAATGTTGAAAAAAAATTAAAAAAAAAATAAAAAGGTAATTTTGGGGGGCGCCTGGGTAGCTCAGTCCGTTGGGCATCTGAATTCGGCTCAGGTCATGATCTCGCGGTCCGTGACTTCAGCTCAGGTCATGATCTCGCGGTTTGTAAGTTCGAGCCCTGCGTCGGGCTCTGTGCTGACGGCTCGGAACCTCGAGCCTGTTTCGGATTCTGTGTCTCCCTCTCTCTCTGACCTTCCCCCATTCATGCTGTGTCTCTCTGCCTCAAAAATGAATAAACGTTAAAAAAAAATAAAAGGGTAATTTGGGGAGCACCTGGGTGGCTCAGTCGGTTGAGGGTCTGACCACTCTGCTCCTGAGTTGGAACCCCGCATGGGACTCTATGCTGACAGCTCAGAGCCTGGAGCCTGCTTCGGATTCTGTGTCTCCCTTTCTTCCCCTTCCCCACTCATGTTCTGTCTGTCTGTCTCTCTCAGGAATAAACTTTTTTTTTTAAAGGTAATTTGGGGGAACTTCTAGGGAAAATTGAACTTATTACAAGGTACACATAGGAATACACGAATTTTGTTGGTTATTTAAAAAATTTAACATTTATATAGTTGACCATGCTTAAACTATCTCTGGAATCAGGCAACAATTGTATTATGTGCACGTATTAGGTGCATACATTACCTATTCACAAATATGAATAGCTGGCCAGATTTCCTATAAGCCTGTCTCAGAGAGTATTTTACCGGGAGTTTGTTCTACGATTTAAGTCCAGAAAACTGCCATCTTTTCATCTTTGCCACCGGTTCTACAGGTGTCCCCCAGCATATGGGTTACACTTTTAAATGCATGAACGAAATAGAGTGGAAATAGCAACTAGATTGAGAGGAAGAACACTTGGGTTCTAGTCCTGAGTCTCACTAAGTAGTTGTGGCTGTGGGCAAGCTTTTTCAACTATTTTCCTGGGCTTCAGTTCCTTACGTGTTGGGTAAACATTTGCCTATTGGTTAGCCAGGGAGAGATTAAGAGGAGCACCAAGATAGACGGTGACACGGCGCCCCCTTCTCAGTTCTTTAGCACAAAGCAGCAGACCGCGGTGGTTCTAAGGGTCCGTGACGTTCTTGAGACTATTTGTCACTCCTCAGTCCGATTCCTGGAGTGGCGTTAGTTGGTGCTCAACCAATAAAGAATGACCGTATGAAGGAAGTGAACGAGAAATGGGCCAGGGGCTGCGCAATTATCTGGCGAATTCCTGCCAAAAATCACAAACATGCCGTCTTTTCCCTTATGTTTCAAAGCAATTGCCGGAGTGTGAACCTTGTATAGTTCGGAGGCGAAACCTTTCAGCGGCTGACCGCAGGGCAGAAAGAGAGAGAGTACGGAGTTAGCTCTCCCACCCGTCGCTGCGCGTGCGCGCGCTCGCCCCGCCCCTCACCACGCGCCAGCCCCGCCCCTCGTCACGCGCGCCCCTCTCGCCGCGCGCGCCTCCGGCCGCTGCGAGCCGGGCTAGCAGCGCGCGGTCTTCGGGTCGCTCACCGCTGGCTACCGCGGCGCCGCGCGGGTGGGTGGGATCGTGGCGGAGCTCCCGGCGCCGGGGCAGGGGCGGGAGAGCGCCATGGCGGCGGCTGTGGCGGCGGCATCCGGTCCCCGCGCTGCGGCGAGTTGAGGGGCCGCCTCTTCACGACTGAGGAGGCCACAGCTGCCCGCCTGCCTTCCACGCGGGCCGCGGCTCCGGCATGGCCGGGATCATTAAGAAGCAGATCCTGAAGCACCTGTCCCGGTGAGAGCGCCAGCGCCGGCCCCCAGCCGTCCCGGGGCCCTTTCTAACCCCCTTCGACCCTCCTCCCGTACCCCCTGCTTCGGGCCGGTCTCCCTCTCTTCAGCCCGAGCCGGGACTCCGTGGCGGCCCTCGCCTCAACTCGAGCTGGACAGCCTCCGGCCCGCTCCGCTGGCCCCGACCGTTGTCACCACTCTTCTTCCCTCGCCCTGGGCCCTCCAGTGCTGGGCGCTCCTGCCCTCGGGGGGCACTCCAGGCTCTCCCCTCCACTCTTGCAGCCTCCGTATCCCTCCTGGCCGTCCGCCCCCGCACTCAATTCCCACACAGCCGAACAGGTCACCCCGTCCTCGCTTGCACGTCCCCCAGACACTCAGACCGTCCCCTCCGAGGCCCCCAGGGATGCCACCCTTTCCTGTCCGACCCTGCCTTTTCCTCTCCCCTTTGGTTCCTCTGCCCGCCTCCTTACCGGCCCCACCAACCCTTCCACCGCTTCCTCTCTCTCTCCTTCCTGGTACTAGGTCCAGACTAGACCCTTTATCCTCCGGCCTCTTCTAAATAACCGTGACCCCTAGTCCTTCATAATCCATTTTCCGCTCGGATTTCCAACTCCGACACTGGTTTCTTCCTTCCTAGAAGCTCCCAGCTCCTCCACTTCTTTGGCTGACCCTGTTGCATCACCCCTGGAAAGGATATAATCCCTGCACCCAGGGCCATTCCCTTGATCTGTTTTCTCCCTCCTTTGCTTCTCTTCTCATTACACAAACTAAATGGATAAAGGTGATGAGAGTTGGGCATAAAGTTTCAACAACCTTCCCTTTAAGATGTGGAGGATTTTTGACAGCCTGTGAAATGAACTAACAAAGTTCACTTCTTTGCAGCCATTTATTAAGCAATGTTATGTCCCTCAGTAATGGGGGGGGGGGCAGGCTGGTGTCCGACAAAACAGTTTCCAGTAACTGGGTAACTGCTGACTCCTGTGTTACCGTTGCAGGTTGTCAGAACCGGTATGTGCAAAAATTGGAAGCCTTTCACTTAGTTTTTGCTTCTTATTCCAAGGCAGGATTTGGGAATGCCTTAATACTTTTAACCAGCCTTTGTATCTCAAGGGGAGACTGATTCAAGCCTTGTCCACACTGATCAGTGGTTTTCAGGAGGTGGGATTAGGGGGTGTCGCTAGTCAACAGGGGGCACAGGGGCCTTGGACCAATGTACCTTTCCTGGTCTTTTCACTGGATTGATGAGTGGTATGGTGAGAAGCTTTTGCTGCCGCTGCATCCCCCTTTCTGGCTGATACTCTGGCTTATTTACTGTTCTTTGATTTTAGACTTTAGTAATTAGATTCAGATACATCTGTTAGTTAATCACCATGTTGTAAAAGTAAAAGCGGATTGGAGGCTGGGACTGGAAAGTGCCTTTGGACCCTTTACTCAGATTAGTTTTCTAATGTATTATTTTTCAGGTAGCATTCATCTGGGATGTTCCATGAGTTTGGTTGTTCTGTATAAAGATTTAAAAGTGGGACTAATGGGGGCACCTGGCTGGCTCAATGGATAGAAGATCTGACTCTTGATCTTAGGGTCCTGAGTCACTTAAAAAAAAGGTAGGACTAGGGGCACTGGGTGGTTCAGTCTGTTGAGGGTCCTACTTTGGCTCAGGTCATGATCTCGCGGTTCATGAGTTAGAGCCCCGCCTCCGGCTCTGTGCTGACAGCTCAGAGCCTGAAGCCTGCTTCAAATCCTGTGTCTCCCTCTCTTTCTGCCCCTCCCCCACTGGTGCGTGCGCTCGCTCTCGCTCTCAAAAATAAACATTAAAAAAAAAGGTAGGACTAATGAATGTGAGTGGTACAGAAAATTTAACTAAAGGAAAACTATTCATTTAAATAAACATAGAATCAGAGAATTTTAGGATTTCGAGATGATCTCACCCAACATAGCCTCGTGTTTAAGAGCCCAGGCTCTTTCTGGTTTACTTTCTTCAACTGTAAAATGAAGACAATAATTGTATCTAACTCAAAGGGTCATTGTGAGGGTTACATGAATAAATATATGTAGACTTAGCACAGTGCCTAGCACATAGTAAGTGCTCAGTTAAACATGGGCTGTAGTTATTTTGGGGGCCATGACTTGGCTGACAATTTGATATAAGCCATAGACTTCTCCAGAAAAATACACATATGCAAACAGGTGATTTTTATATAAATTCTGGGGGAGAGTTATTAACCCTCAAAGCACATGCCTGAATCTTTCAAGGCATCCTGGAACTAGGTGAATAACCCCTGACTAGTTAGTTTCACTCTCCTCATTTTATGGCTGAGAAAACTAAAGCCCAGAGAGGATAAGCAACTTGCCCAAGCTGCAATGGAAGGTAAAGTAATGGAATAGAATCCAGCTTAGTGCACACATATTCTGTGTACTCTCTATGAATATAAAGTTTTTAAAGAAAAAATTTAATACTATACACTGACTTATTCAGTGGATCCTTGGAGATGAACAAAGTATCTCTTTTAGATGAGGTAGGAGTAGGTATGACAGACATTGGGAGAAATTTCTGGGTTCCTCAGTGTTGTGCGGTTGATAGGGAAGAGGAAGAGAAGGTTATTTGGGTCTGCAATATCAGGGCTCCAGGAAAAGTTGGTAGGACATGGATCTATTTGAGGGACAGATCAGACTCCTTGGGCCTTTGGCCTAATCATGTATGACATTTGTGTCTTTGTATGGTCTCTACGATACCTGCAGAGGCTGGCCTGCCTGGAGGGAAGCCACAGCTTCTGTGGCTTGCCATATCTCATGGAGAAAGAGAAGAGAAGGTATACTGAGTTACCTCAGTATGTTAAATAAATATTTGTAGGTGTTTAATAATTACTTGTGGATGATGACAGTGCCACTTGACCTGGAGGAGAGTGTCTTAACAGCAGGAAGGATATTTCAGTGACTCTCTCTCATGTTTAATTTTGGTCATGAAGTATAAGATATTAAAGTGTTTTGTTAGAATGCATCCTTCTTATCAGTAGAGTGTTTTGGTAAACAAGATTTGAGAGAAGTGGTCATCAAGATGTTTTTGTTAAGTGCCAGCTCTAGGCCTGGCCCTGATCTGGTCACTGGGGATTCAGCAGGGAAGAAATGTAAATATCTTTTAAGGGCTTTAACCTATGGTTTGGATGACTGCTATGTAATACAAATAGTTTCAATGCGCAGTATTCATTTAAATTGACCCAGGAGGAGACCTTTACTTAGAAACAAAAGTAATCATTAAAAAAAATCCAAAATTGATTTTTCACTAAATTAGATTATTTTTGTTTTAGCTCACCTTAGCTAATGTCCTTTTGTAAGAAACGTGATTGATTGTCAAGTAAGTCAAGGGACTGTGGCTCGTGGAAAGAGCATGGGACTCTGGAGCCAGAGAAGCCTGATTCACCTTCCAGCTCTGCCCTTTTGAATGGGTCAGCCTTTCTGAGCCTTAGTTTTCTTATCTGTGAAAGATGAGAATAATGAAGAATACTAAGTACCTAGCACATTGTTTTGAAGATTGGGGATAAAGTATTTATTATACGGCCCAGCATATAAGTAGGGTTTAATAAAGAGTAGCTATTATAACATGACCAGAGAAGTTAGGAATACCTCCGTAGTATGGGTGACAGCAACCCATTTGAGTGGCTCTTTTAGAAACCTACCAGAAGTCTTAATTATTTACTCTAAATAGCTGCAAGAAATGTGACCCCGAGTGACGGAGAGACAGCTGATAGGCATGATAAGTATTTTAAAAACAAGTATTAATGAAATCCAGAGGCATACAAGATTTCAGAGTCCTCTTGGAGAATAAGAGACCCTACTGTGAGCTCAGCCCTCGTAGTTTGTGATCAGTGCCTCCCCTTGTTATTACTCATCATCGTGAGGAGATCATTGTGGCCAACCCCCAGTGGACAGTGGGGAGCTGCAGGCTCAGAGAAACTGACTGCTGGCCCAGGGTCTGTTTAGGTGAAGATTTATAGGAGTAGTTTTAACTTCCAGGTCATGCCCCTTTTTACTAAACTTTACTTATTATTGCCTTCATTTCCTAAATAATTATTTTGTTCATTTTCTTTTCTTTTTCGCATGTGCACAGAGCAAGTGGGAAAGGGGCAGAGGGTGAGTGACAGAATCTTAAGCAGGCTCCACACCCAGTGTGGAGCCCGATACATGGCTGAGACAAAAGTACTCACGATGAGTGGGACGCCTGGGTGGCTCAGTCGGTTAAGCCTCTGCCTTCGGCTCAGGTCATGATCTCACAGTTCGTGAGACTGAGCCCCACGTCGGGTTCTGTGCTAACAGCTCAGAGCCTGGAGCCTGCTTCAGATTGTGTCTCCCTTTCTCTCTGCCCCTCCCCCACTCATATTCTGTCTGTCTCTCTGTCTCTCAAAAATAAACATTAAAAAAAAAAAATTAAAAAGTAATCATGACTGTGAGATCATGACCTGAGCCCAAATCAGGAGTCAGACACTTAACTAACTGAGCCAGTCAGGTGCCCTGTGCATTTTCTAGTAATAGTCAAATCTTATATGTCTTTGTTTCCCTTCTTCATTTTCTTGTGTTGCTTCAGAATAAAGCGTTTTTTTTTTTTTTTTTTTTTTTTTTTTACTTAGCAAATACTATATATAATAAGCACTTTACAAGTCTTATGATGATGTAATTCTCAGACTAACCCTATGTGGTAGTTATTAGGCCTATTTTATAGATGAAGAAATGAGGCACAGGGAGGTTAAGGAACTTGCCCAAAATCATAACTAGTAAGTGATGGAACTGAGATTCAAATGTAGGCGTTCTGATTCTCTTTACTGTTAGGCTACTATAAGCTTCCCATCTTCTGAATATTTCAAATTGAGTATACTCTTGTCATCAGCATCCATATGAAGAAACAATATTACCAGCACCTAAGAAGCCTCCTTGTGTCTTCTGTCATTATCTCTACCAAAGAGTAACCACTGTCCTGATTTCTAACAATATAGATTCTACCTGTTTTTGTATTTT